AATCCTTTATGTCGATACGAACCGCAGTCGCTGTTCCTTCGGAGTTTATCAATGTCCTTCACTTTATCAACATCCAATGTGGTCGCAGGTGAAGTCTGAGATGGAGTTGTAAACCTATCATTATTGCTCCGTAGCCTGTTTACTAAATCATTCCCTCTACCGGAACTCCAAGTCAGAGAATCGGCATCTTCCATGTTATCGCTTTTTCTTGATGATGTACTAACGTCTTTTCCCAGTATTAACCGCCTAAGTTTCTTAAAGAACTTGTTTTTTCTTGAAGTCGGGATTTCCATAGCAGATGAGTTCCCGATTGTAGAATCGACTGCTTCGCCGTTTTCGGTGCCATAGAAGGCCTGCGAGCAAGAACAATGATCACAATCAAAATCCGTGCTGTCCATCCCTCTATCCCCCATTCCTTCAGCTCGTGCGTATTCAAGTATTAGCTTCTTGGCTTTCTTCTCCGACTCCGGATTTGGGCTTTTGCTTAGGTCTCTAGCAATTGTTTTACCAGGGATGGATGGAAAATTCCTCAGTTCGTACCGCAAGCAAGCATTTACCCACCGGAGATATACCAGTTCTTCGGCATCAGCACATCTGTCTTCGTGGAGCTGATCAATCTGCTTCTTCAAATCTTCATTTTCTTGCCTTAGACGCTCTCGTGTTTTGTTTATTGCTTCTGACTGTAATCAAATCACCGGGTGTAAAAAGCCAAGAACAAAATTAGTAATATCAATGTAAAGGGAGAGGATTCAACATATATGAACCGTCTACCTCAGGATCCTCCAAAACAGAATTTGCATGGATTTGGGTCGACTCCAACTTCCGAGCCAGTTCTGAATTTTCAATCTGAAATTTCGTGTTAGATTTCCTCAACTCTTCTGCCTCACCTTCCAAAACCTTTAGCCTTTCTAACTTTGATTCGATATGAAGATTATCTGCAGGAGCCTTGAGTTCTTGCTCCTTTAAGCTGGCAACCCTCTTTTGAACGCTTCGAATCTGCTCTCTGTTCTGCTCAGCCTCATGCCGAAGTTTCTTCTTAAGCACCTTAATTCTCGATTTAGCAGCCTCAAGCTCGGCTACGACTTTTGCATGATCGGCAACTTGGTTCTCTAATCTTTGATTTTCCGACTGTAAGGATGCAATCTTGAGAGTGAAAAGCTTAGCCTCCATGTTATTTATCTTCAGTTGGTTTTCAAGCTCCAGAACAACTGCTTCTTGTTCTTTAAGGCCATAATATTCCAGCAGCTGGACCTCGAGATTCCTCTCCCTCTCCCGAAGCGTTCTTATCATATTTCTAAGGTGCTTGATCTCTTGCTCATGATCATCCTTTTTAGCGGTTCTAAACGTTCTTGAAGTGTCAAATTCCTTGACAAGATCATTGAACTCCGGAAAGAGAAACACATATCCGCCCTGTCTACTGCCTGGGGGCAGAACAACAGAAGCATTCTCAACACTAGCACGTTGTGCGGATATTTCTTCCTGACAGAAGGAAACCAAAATGTCATATTCGACGTAGAAACTTTTATCAGGTGACACGTACTCGGCGCCGAGTCATTCGAACAATGCTTCACAATTGCTATTTAACCGGAAGGTAAATAGTGAGAATTAAAATAAAGGCGTAAAGATCCTTTGTACTATGTTATTCACCGGTGCAGTAAGCAATTCATCCATGTGGAAAAGGATTGCAGGATTAAACATGTCATTACTAGAAAGAAATTTCCGTGTAGATCGGTTGCAAATAGAGCTTTTAACGGTGATGGTAGTCATTCTGAGGCAACGGAACCACCATAATATTTACTTAAACTTATGCAAGAAATTTCCCTAGGAGTATCTAGGCCAAGGGCATGTAGTTTGTAAGTGGCTCAACGGCTCATTCAGAAGGATAATAAGCAGATGATTTAGGAGACCATGTCTTACAATCAAACAGAGCAGGCTTCATCATATGCTTTAGCTGGATATAGTTGAAAAGTATTCCAAATATTCATGGCTCTTTCTTTCTCAATAAGATCGGCAGATTTTCGCTTTACAGTTTTTCGATCCATGGGAACATATACTCATACTGTGAAATACAATTATAAAATTTGAACAGCACAAGCGTACTGAATGTTTTATACTTTATTATCCAAGGAAACTTACAGGATCAGAAGCCGGTGCCGTCCTTAAGTCCGAAACATCGTCGTTGCCACAATCATCAGACTCACTGCAATAATCTGTACAATCAAAACAATTAGAAAGTAGGCAATGCAATTAAATCAGGCGAAGCCCAAAAAGAAAACCGCAAACCTGAAACACGCCGTGATGGAGGCGGAAGAGGCAAATACGGTTTGGTCTTTCGGGTTCTACGTCGAGAATAAATAAATCCAGCGGAAGAGATGGCAACAGCAACCGCAAATTTAAGTAAAAGAGGCCTCAAATCTCGCTTTTCTCTTGACATCGCTACAAGCGACACCAAATTCCAATAATATTATTCAATAATTCAAGTAAAGCGAGATTATAAAGTCCTCTCCATCATCACCTTCCATCTACATGGTGAAGAAAACAAGTTAGTGATTATAAAGTAAGGCAATTAAAAAACTCAGATGATCCGGTTTATATAAAAATCTACCCAAAAAAAACGTTTGGAAGTAGAAAGATTGACAACTAAAGAAAGAAGAAAATAAAAAAGGCTGATTACCATAATTCAAACATGCTAATATTAGACCCCGGCAGATAGTAAAAGCTCAAAAGGAAAAAACCCAGAGCAGTCGTTCAACCCATCTTAGAATAACAGACAAGGAACAAAGAACGTAGGGATTAAGCAATTAGGAGAACCCCATTTTGAAACGACTTTACTGTTAAAGTCTACAGAATGATCCACAGACGCATAAAGAAATAAACTCACTCAGAATCAACACGTGTGATTTGGGTGTCTGTAATAAAGTAATACAGACCATGCTAACGAAGTTGCACATGAACTACGATCTTCTAAGAAAAAAATAATAATGGTCGTGTCGGACTTGGTTTCTGTCTTTATTACATGTTCGAACGAAAAAGTAAGCTGAAAGATGGAAAAAGAGAGTTGGCTTTTTGTTGGTTAATTGTGGATGTTTAAAAGGATGGATTCTTGGCCAAGTTGATTCCATGTAGATGCTGCACTTGGAAATTAAATAGACAGACGTCCCCAGTTTTCTTTTAAGGGTATGTTTGGTTCACGGAATATAAGATTATCAGTGAGAATATAAGATTATCAGTGAGAATATAAGATTACAAGGGAATAAGATTACTGACAATGTTGTATTTTATGTTTGGTTGGTTTAGTATGAATGTAAGATTACTGTGTTTGATTAAAAGAATAAAAGATTATTAGAATGTATATTTGACCAAATTATCCTTATTATATATTTATTTTTTTAACAAGTTGAAAAATATTTATATATTTTCTTTAAAAAAATTAAATTCATAAAATTTATATATTTTTTTATAAAATTAAAAATGTAAAAAGGTTTAATGAAAGGGTAAAATTTTATTTTAACCCCAGAACTTCATATGAAATTTTAATTTTAGACTTTTTTGTAAATCTAAAATTTAATTTAACCTTCGTATAATTTTTATTATTCAATAACAAAAAAATGATATTTTTGGGGAAAAATTAAGGGCATTTTAGTCCAAAACGCCTGTAATCCAACAATATTTAAGGAAGGGGAGGTAATGACATTCCCGGTAATATACTCAAAAAAATCTACTATTAGTAATAAAACATTACCGGGAATGAGATTCCCGACCAACCAAACATGAGAATGTGGATTTCATTCCTATGGAAATCCTACATTCCTTGGTCCAAATACCCCTAAATAGTAATTAGTTCGACATCAAGAATTTGGAATAATAAATTTGGAGGTGGCCCACTATGAGCTTCTTGGGTCGGGTTTACATATAATTCAATTATTATTTTTTTAATTATTTTTCAAAATCTAACAATATAAGGAAAGAATGTGCTTCGTTTCATTTCTTGATGGGCTTAATAGCAGATATAATGAAAGTGAGGGACTTTATTTTCTTTGTTAGCATGAATTGGTTGTAGGGGACTGCGATCTATAAAACTCGACAACTTTCATTTTCACCTTTTTTCCCATGCTTGATTCGCATAACCAATTTGAATGGTTGCTCAAGTTTGACAATTAGGTAATGGAGATCATAGAATAGGCTAATTGCCATAGGTGGAACACGTGATGTGACCGTAAAGCATGGCAACTACAGTAGAATCTACCCTCAATATAATTTTAGTTATATTTATATTCAAAATAAAAAATATAATACAATAAAATTTTGAGTGATCTCAATGGTTACAAGAATTTTATTTTTTTCCTAGTTACTCGAATTTGATAATATAATCTACACGTGTAATTTTTTGATAAATTTTAAATTTAATCCTAATCTTATTTAGAGGAGAGAAAAAAAGAACTCCAAGAAAAAAAATAAGGAAATTGTTCTTAGTGAATCTAGAACTTATGATCTAATGGAATATAAGAGAAAAAGATGAACAGCTTTACAACCAAATAAATCTACTCACTCCACATGTGCATAAATTTAGATCTAATTCTTTTTAATAAGAAGATAGTTGAAAATGTAACACTATGATAAAAGGGGAAGGGAACTGGCTTAGGGCGCGGGGCAAAGGGCGTAACGATAATTTAAAATAAAGGTTGACAAACTAAAACCCAAACTCGTCTCCTATAAATACACATACAGAAGCAGGAAACCTAGAGCAAGCCGCGGTGTGAATTAACCTTTGCTACCTTCTCTCTGTCATACAGTTTTCCTCATCGAATTCTATGTTACTGAGAAAGTATTTCCATTCATGCATGCATGGGGTTTGAGCGGAGCAGGAATAGTGTGTATCGAGGTTGTGCAAACTTTCCAGTGCACTCTGTTAGTTTCCTTCAAAATTGATTTGGTGAAGGTGGACAGTTGTGCTTCATATCTATATTTGATTCTTTTGGACAATCATCTTCCCCATATTCCAAATTATCTCTCTCCAAAATATTATTTTATCATGTTATAAATGCCTTCCGGTTATTGTCATTGTGATTTGCATCTAAATTTATTTAGTTAATAATGAATTTTGTTAGAGTGATGAATATATTATGAGCTCCGGTTAAACATGGTTCCCCACATTCTGATACGGTGAAATCTTGTGAAAAACCTATGTGAAATGCTTGAAGTGAGCCTGGTTTAATGTTTTATATGACACGATCACATAAAACGAATGCAGCAAGCGATGTCTTAAGTGGAAAACAAAAACATTCGTAGGAAGAATTTACACAAGCACTCCGTGCTATCTATGGCTTTGTTTGTAACAAAGTGAACAACACTCGACTGTTGTCCAACTTCGAATTCTCCTAATAATTCAAACGGTAAACAAATTAATAAGACAAGAAACTTGAGATTTCTCTGTCAAAATTCCAAAGATTCATCAACTTGAAAACAAGACTTGTTCATTCGAGCTTCACTCATGCTGTTCCTCGCTGCCATTATTTCACCGAGGGAAAGTCTATTCTTCGCCCCTGGCTCCGGTCTTTGCTTTGGGACACTGTGGGATCTTAACTTGGCCTTGAACGATTGTTTGTTTGCCATATAGTTCGTGAGGTTCGAATAAGGTCGTCTAAAATATCTGTCCCCGCACACACTCAATGGTGTAGTAGGGGCGTTGAACATCCAGTTGGTATTACCGAAACGAGGAGTGGTCTGGGCAGTAGAAAACTTACATTCCTTGTCAGCGAAACACCATTCGAAACCATGAACATTTTTGTGATTGGGTGCGGATGCTCGAACAGGACATGGAAGAGGCGATGATATTGTCTGGTATGGCAATTCATCCCCACATTCTGATAATGCATTGAGGTTGAACCTACGTGGCCTTGATCTTGTCTTCAATTTAACGACTTCGACGATTTTGGGGCTGTCAGTATATGCATTGGTTTCCATTGATGCAAACAGTCTATTGCTGTGAATTTCTCTTCTTGGATCATCAAATCGTTCCTGAAAACGAAAAAAGAACATCAATATAAGCAAATATCGACTGACGAAAACAGATCGACAAATGGTGCTTACAAAGGATTTCCGGTTCCTATTTTCGAGACAATACGAATTCTCCTTGTTGAAGGAGCGACGAATCCGCTAAGAACGAACTGATGTTTGTGCTCTTAGAAGAGCATGCATACTGTGCAGAGTTGCAATAGCCCTCTTTCTTACAAGATAGCCTCTAACCAGAGCTTGTAGTCGAACCAGCCCTTTCAAAGCTCTAAGTGCTTTCCGAGACTGAAAGAACAAAACCCAAATTAGATTTCAACCAAAGTTACCAACTTCAATGCTTGGTTGAACATATAAATGATGATATCCGGTCCAAGATGTTTGAATTCAAATTTCAAAATGTGCAGACCAAAAGCAAAAAAACTCCAACCCAATTGATTTGTAGACCACACTTCATCTGGGGTCTACCAACTACCAGGAGGAATGAGAATTTTGGCCTTTAGTCAAACAGAAGCAGCACGAGCAGATATTTAAATAGTGTTCACGGGTCGCGTTTATCGTAATTACGAACATAACGGATATCATCGTGATTATTTCAGGTGTCATCGCGATCGTGAATTTTTTAAATTTCGCACAACTTATCCTGAAACATAATAACTATAACTATAATTATAATTATAAAGAGTCATTTTAATGATTTTTAGAATATTTTATATTTTTAATGATTTTTAGAATATTTTATAAGCGAAAAAGACATATATATATATATATATATATATAATATAGTTTAATCAAATAGAAGACTTTAAAAATCCGATGATAAGATAAGATTATTAAATTAAATAGAATTAAAATAAAAGTATAAAATTTAAATTATAAAAATTTAGATTACTGAAATTATGACTAAATTAAATAAAAACTAAAGTTTACATTCTAAACTAAATATTAAATTTAAATTTTAAAAGATGAGATTAAATTATAAGTTTTAAAAGATGGAGGGAGAGAAGACAAATAAACTACCCCATTTAAAAGTATATTTTAAAATTTATTTTAAAAATTAAAAAATTAGAATAGGAGGGGCGAGAGTAGGACAGGCAAAATAATTTTAGGGGGTATTTGGATCATGAATTTCAGTATTATTGGTAGGAATATTTTTTTTCTACCTAAGATAACCACGTTTGGATGGGCAAAATTTCCAATAGGGGAGTAATAACATATTTCCTGTAGACACCCATTTTTGTCCGGGTTATAAATATTATATTTAAATTATATTATTATTATTATTAATGTTACATATTATATTTTACAGGATCCAGACCCGGTTACAACACCACAACCGAGCTGCCCACGTGAAATCTGCAACAAATCCACCAAAGTCAAAGAATCATTCATCCACAGAAAGTTTAAGCAATTTTCCAAGTCAAAAGCAAAATACCTAATCCATTACCTACCATCACTATTCCTACATAATGATGCAACAAATGAAGAAATAAGGGAAAAAGACAAAATGACATTCAATGATAAAATGAAGATGCAATTATGATGGAGAGGGGGCTCGTGGGAGGAGAGACCAGACAGAGAGGGGCCAAAACGTGAGAGGCAGGAGAAAAAAAAATAGAAAACAACACTTCTCGTAATCTGCTGGATTCTCGCCGGAGATTAGGATCTCCGATCAATATTCCGAACGGTCAAAAGTTGCGGAAGGCCATCACGAACAACATATAGAAAAATCAGGACGATCAGACGATGGACGGTGACGGATCGGAGAAAACAAATCCGGGTGGTTTTTAGCCTCTTGCCGGTGATCGGAATATTTGATCAATATTCCGAACGGTCAAAAGTTGCGGAAGGCCATCACGAACAACATATTGAAAAATCAGGACGATCGGACGGTGGACGGTGACGGATTGGAGAAAATAAATCCGGACGATTTTTAGCCTCTTGCCGGTGATCGGAATCTGCGATCAATATTCCGAACGGTCAAAAGTTGTGCGATGCCAACAAAAACAACCTATTGAAAAATCAGGACAATCGGACGGTGGAAGACGGCAGATCAAAGAAAATACATCCGGACGGTTATCTTTGTACCTTTCCTGATTTTCACACTTTAATTTCTGTTATTTTATTTTAACTTTTATTTCTGTTTTTACCATTTTAATCCTTAAGGTTCATGTTTTGCGCTTGGGTCATTTTCCATATGAGTCATTTTCATTTGCAGCTTAATACATTTTAGTCCTTAAATAGGTGTTTTTGTGTTTCTGATTTCGTCTCCATATTTTACGCGTATTCAATTTTAGTCCTGAGTGGTATTGTATTTAACTTCTGTTCTTTATACATTGAACTGTTAATTTTCGCATGTTTCATTTTAGTCCCTAGGTCGAAGTTTGCATGTTTTTAATTCTGTCTATTTATTTTATGGTTCATTTAATTTTCGTCCTAGTGTTGATTTGTTTATTTTCTGTTGTTTAGATATTTGACCTTCATATTTTTGCATGTTGCACTTTAGTCATGAGTGTGTTGGGATTTATTCTGTTTTTAGTCCCCTGCAATAGGAATAGTTTCATTTCAGTTCTTAGTATTTAATATGGTATAATACTAGCATTTCTACCTTAATTCGTATTTTATTTATAATTAGGTTATTAAAGTTTTATTTGATATCATTTAGTCCTCGTTTTAATAAATATATTTATTTTCTGAAATTTATAATTTGTTGTATTATGTTTTCGTTTGTTTTGTTTAGGTCATATTTGTTCATTAAATATAACTATGTATATAGTATATATTTTTAGTTATAAAATGTATATAATTTTTATGGAAATGTCACATTGCATGATATTTTAAAATATTGGTTTAATTAATTTTTATATGACATCATTTTAGTATGATTTGCATGTTAGCCTCACGTGCATAAACTCAATGTATTTACATAATTTAATTAAAGGTAATATCTTTTAAATTTAAAATTATTTTAAGTGGGTTGTCTTAACTGATTAGATATCCGCTTTTGATGATTTTAAATTAAAAGTATATTCCATCAGTGACACCTAAGAAATTAATTTATCGCTTTTAAAATTTGGGAACGGAAGAAAAAAATATTCGGCTATTTAAATTTATCGAGAAAAGATAGTTAGAACTTATCTAAGATCTGGTCTCGATATTTGTAAATAATCGAATATTCTTTATCTTTCTAAAGGCCTGGTAATTTTAATTCAATCTATTTTGGGTGCTTTTGAATTTTGTAAAATTCATGTGGTGTTTTGTCGGGGATCATAAATCAAATTAAACTCGAATTTGTAAATTTCATTGCAAAGACATTAATTAATCAACAGGTACCGATTTAGGGCGCTGTGGGGGTGCTAATCCTTCCCCACGCGTAACCGACTCGCGAACTCGAATTTTGGTAATGCAGACCTAAATTTGTTGTTTTAATTAAAATTATTTTTTTTATTTAAAATGGCAAAACATTTTTGGGTGTCCAATCACACCCTAATCAAAGATTGGTGGCGACTCTTCGAACCCGTATTTTTATCGTGAATGAATTCCCAAATTTTCGAAACGAGAGGTTTTCTAAAATCACATTATTTTTAATTAAAATTCAATCGTAAAGAGAATAATTAAAAATTGGTGTGGTTTCCAAAATCTCACCCGGGACAAAAATCGTTTCGACAACTTGGCGACTTTGCTGAGGACTTTTTTTAGAGAGTCAGGCCTATAGTCGATTAATTGATTGTCTTTGCAATTGAAAGTTGGAAATTCGTTTTAATTTGGTTTTTGATCCCTTGTTTGGTTTCAGTATATGTTTGTTCGGAATTTGATTAGCAAATAAATAGTTGTACTGATCTGTTTGCTATTTGTTTCAGATTAATTATGTGTTTAAAGAGGATTGATTTTGGAGTGTTTTGTAATTGTGTTGTTTTATTTTCGCTTTTCCTCACACACTGCACAGTTGCATTTGCATAACATGAGCTAAAACCCCGCTCTATCCTATTTA